TGCAACTATTTCGTATTTTGAGTTTAAGACATTTTCAAGCATGACTTTAGATCAGAACGTAACTGAAATCCTTGAACATTTCCTCCAGGGCGGTATCTACATGCTGACACTGATGGACTGGTACTGTGGCAGCTACAACCTGATGCTGGTGGCTCTGACAGAGATCATCTGCCTCATGTATGTCTATCGTAAGTATAACGAGAGGATTTAATATTGTCACGTCTGGTAACAAAATGTCTAACAGTCTGTTTCCACTATCCGATGCAGCTTGGTTCAATGCATGTTGTAACTGACTGTTTCGCTACCATTTAAGCTTATTAGCTTGGTTCAATGCATATTGTGACTGACTGTTTCGCTCCCCTTTAAGCTTATTAGCTTGGTTCAATGCATATTGTAACTGACTGTTTCGCTACCATTTAAGCTTATTAGCTTGGTTCAATGCATATTGTAACTGACTGTTTCGCTACCATTTAAGCTTATGCAGCTTAAACCATTACCAAGTAAGCTTGACAATGCATATTGTGTAACTGACTGTTTCGCTACCATTATTAGCTTGGTTCAATGCATATTGTAACTGACTGTTTCGCTACCATTTTAAGCTTATTAGCTTGGTTCAATGCATATTGTAACTGACTGTTTTAAGCTACCATTTAAACTGCTGTTTCGCCACCATTTAAGCTTAACCGTTCATTATTGTACCATTTCAATGCATATTGCAACTGTGACTGACTGTTTCGCTACCATTTAAGCTTATTAGCTTGGTTCAATGCATATTGTAACTGACTGTTTCGCTACCATTTAAGCTTATTAGCTTGGTTCAATGCATATTGTAACTGACTGTTTCGCTACCATTTAAGCTTATTAGCTTAGTTCAATGGGTATTGTAACTGACTGTTTCTTTAACCATTAAGCTATGTAGGTTGGTTCAAAGGATATTCCATCTGACTGTTTCGCTACCCTTCAGGATTTAGTAGGTTGTTCAATGCATATTCTGACTGGTTATCATTTAAGCTTTGGCGGGATGGATGTGGCCACAGACCCAGGGTAAACGAACTATCGTCCCGTTCCTGGAGGACATCAAGATGATGATTGGTCACAAGCCCAACCCCTACTGGGTCATCAACTGGGTCTTCCTGACCCCCATCGTCATCATTGTAAGTCCTAGTATGCCATAATTTTAGTCATAATTTTAGATCTTAATATTTTGCTTTATACACAAGGCAGGATGCCACTCTGAATGGATAACCTTGTCAGGCTCTTTCAACAAGCCTAAACATTACTGACATAATTTTACTTAATTGACGAATGGCTCCAATGCATGAAATGTATTAATAGCTAAATCTTCAAATCAAATTATTTTATTTCAGTTCATCGTGATCGTGTCAGCGACCCAGTACGCCCCCGCCAACTACGGCGACTACATCTACCCCCCATGGGCTGAGGGAATTGGCTGGTGCATGGTTGTCGCCCCCCTGGCTATGATCCTCCTCGTCATGCTTGTACAAGTTTGCAGACTCGGACCGGTGAGTTAACAGTAAAGTTAAACAGATTAAAGGTAGTGCAGTCACAAAGTTGATATTAGTACCTAATACGTTTCTTGGTCATGCCGAATTGTGAATATTTATACCATAATGATGGCCATTTTAAAAGTGTAGCAGTTAGTGACATCTCTCATCAACAAAATGTATCAAGTTCCATCAGAGGCAGTGAAGAGGTGATCGATGCTGCAAAGATAAAAAGTTATCTTATAAATCTCAAATGTCTCTGTGAAACCATCGTTAATGTTCGACCCTGAAGGTGAGGATGGGAGGATAAATGTTTTGATGCGTGATTAATTTCGTACAATATACCATCACTTTATAGCGACCCCCTGTGTATAGGTCACACTCGCTGACTTGGTTGACTCATGTCATCGTATCCCAGTTTCGTAGATTGATGCTCATACTGTTGATCACTTGATTGTCTGGTCCAGACTCGATTATTCACAGACCGCCGCCATATAGCTGGAATATTGATGACCACTACATAAAAACAACACACAAGCCTTAGGTCAAATACATAATGCACAGATTTAGAGAAATATATTGTTTCCCAACAGCTATGCTTTTCGATAAAGGCCTTATTGTCAAAGGCAAGGTCAAGTCATTGAAGAAACTCGTGGCATTGACATTATTTACCGAAAGTGATACGTTGTGCTATCCTATACTGTGAACTTTACTGGATTTCCACATATCGGTACTCGCTGGCACCGGTCATGCTTGGTGACTTGGTTGACCAAAAATGGCAGTGCCCCAACGACGTGGATTATTGCTCATGATACTGATCACTGGATTGTCTGGTCCACACTCAGTTGTTTATAGGAAGTCCTCCTTTGGCATTAGCTTTTCTAATCAACAAACACTTTTGGGTCAGTCACGGGTCCGTATTGTAGATCTTGAAACACCCGGTGTGGAGACAAATCTTCAATGGTCCATAGAATGGTCATCATTTTTTGCCTGCTACGTCTCATGGAATCTGTTTCACATATAAGCTAGACTGGTTACTATCTGGCCTTTAGGATTGCCATACAAAGTCTGAGTAGTCTGAGCATGGTGTTACGCCGCTTTTAGCAATATTCCAGCAACATCACGGCGGGGGACACCAGGAATGAGCTTCACATATTGTACCCACATGGGGAATAAAACCCGGGCATTTGGCGTGACGAACGGACGCCTTGACCACAGGGTCCACCACCCCTCATTCAAATGAAGGTAATAAACATATTGATTTCCGTTTCAGAGAAAGGCCTTCAGCCCAACAAGAAGCTGGGGACCTGCCAACCCCGAAGACCGGACAGGGAAATATGCTGCCGTCTCTGGAACTGTTAATGTTGGGTTTTCAAACGAAAAGGGAACCCCCTACATCGTCAACAGCATGGACAGCGAGAAAGGAAACCCCCCTCCCTACACCAACGGAGGAAATGCTAACTCTGCATACTACGATGAGAGACTGTAACCTTGACGTGTGTAGAACACATACAGAAGTCCCTGAACATGAGATAACCCTTTTGTTGACAAGATCTGGACCTATGTCGTGCTTGTGTCGATGGACTGATTTCGGCAAAAGCCCGTGTAACGTGTTACACCAGGTCATTCGTGTAAATATCATACGTGACTGTGTTTTGGAATTTAATTACTTTTCATTTAAATATTCCATGTTCAATAGAATAATGTTTATATTCGTGATTTAGATTTGTACATCCTCTAAAGTGGGTTCTGAAATGTAGAATTTCTTGTTGTACGTTAAGAAATATAGTTACAGTAACTAACATCGTAGAAGTGTGCAAATCTATTTCTATTAATCTGAGGGTTAGTATAGTTACAAGAACATTCCATCGCTGTAGAATGTCTGAGGTATGTCCTCATACACCTGCAGTGAACATTGTATTGATGTAGTATGTCTGAGGTATGTCCTCATACACCTTCACAGAACATTGTATTGCAGATGCAACGTTATATAATCCCATGTTAACGACCAGAAATTATATTTCAAGCAAACTGCTAATCTGAACTGATGTCATGTTAACTTGTACATACACAGACTTCATTGTTTACAAAGTTTTATATCATTTTTATGTATGAATCTCACTGTCTTTGGCAATATATATTTTTTAATAAAAGGTTTTCATATATAAAATCTTGAGAAATACAGTTTGTTATGTTTATGCTTTACGTGTTTAACCAACTCTGAACACATTTCGTTCGTCCAAGTTCATACCAATTGCGCATACCCAGTGGAATGCTGGTAACACTTAACAGTTGTCAACACTTTTATTTTTAAAAATCGACGGTTTTAATTTATACATGTTGTATGTGTCTGTCGTCCACAGCTAACGAATTGCGTCCCTCAGTACATGCCAGGATCAGCTGATTGTGAGATTACAAAACCTCATTCCGTAGCCATTGTTTCACTTTCACCACACAGTCACATGACTTAAAACCTGTCTCAGTCGACATAAAACCAAATCCACTCACTCACACATGGCACTCATAGGCCTTGACCTTCCAAAAACATTGTTCAAAGCCGTATTAGACATAATAAAATAAACGGTTATAACGAAGAGAACATGTTTTTGTTCTCTTGATCCGCTTGCAAGTGGACAAAAAGATCAGTTCGTTATATTCCTGAACTATACATAGATAAATAAAAACAGAATGCCTTTTTCTTTTTATAAATAGATATATATATATATATATATATATATATATATATATATATATATATATATATATATATTCTATTTATAAAAGAAAATTCTGTTTTATATATCTATCTATATATATATATATATATATGAGCACAGGTTACAGTATCATGAAAAATAACTACATATTCACATCAACGTTTGATGGGATTTGATATTTGTTTGTTCATTTCTGTAAAACAGTTTCAAGAGCATTCTTTTACTAATTGCGTAAATGGAAAACAAATATTAACATCATCAAATAAACAAGACAACCAGATACCTTACCTTACATAGAAATGCTAGCTTTTGATTGGTTGAGGAGGACGAAAGCATTCTACATGTGTGTATGCCTCTGTCACATGCGGGGTAGACATGCCATGCAACACATGCGTACCACGCATAAATAACGTTGAACCGATGTTTATCCGAATGCATTCGGTAAAGGGAAATAACTCGGTTCGTTTGCGTCGTCTGCTTCTGTCAAAATGGCCGATTCAGTGAGCCTGCGGATATGTATTTCGGGCCTGTATGAATGAATGTCGGCTAGAAAAATTCGTTACACAGCCCCGCGGGTATATAGTGTGTTTCACCATGTTTACAGAGTGTGATATACGTTCATGGTTCGATCCATAGACACACATAGGGTACATCGCACCAAACACCCATCGAGGTCGTCGACAACACTTATGTACAGATTGCGCTTTAGGCTAACTACCTTGTACCGAGACGTAGCCTTAAAACGTCCGCCTTCATCGGCCAGTCACGTGTTTCATATCAAAGCCTTTCATTGGCCGACGGTGCAAACATTGACAGAAGAGGTGCAGCGTGCAACAGAACATTGTGCATTCTATTTGTACAGGATTGCCAGCATATCTACGACACAACAACATGACTGAAGAGGTAAGTGCAACGTCTCTTATGTCGTGCATTTTTCGCTATAATTATTATCAGTTTATGTTTTAAACTGGACATGAACTTAACTTTCGGCAAAAGAAAAGTAAACAGCCATGTTTGATGGTGGCGAAAAGAAACAAACCAGATCTGCATATTTGATGGTGAGGTGTTAATCTACGTATCAAAGTTGTGTTTTACGAAGTGTCGGTTTCCAATGTTTCTCAAAACTGTTTTAAATCTAGTAAACGCTATGAAAACGTTTTGGCTGAATCCTAGTTTCAAGTGTACGCTTTCCTTTGCCGTTTATAATTGTAATGGTATTCAGGCAGAGGAAACATCACCTTATTTGTTACTACTCGATCCTCACAGGTTCTTCTGGAGTTCATTTTACCATAGATTTGCCGGTTTTTGGTGGACTATGAATATACTGTATACATATATTCATATGTACATGGCGAGCGATTGTCTTTGAAACTACAAGAGACAACAAGACTGTTTACTAAGACAAAAGCTGTCAGACGTGATATACGTTATTAGTAACAGAAGATTTAAAACAACCCGAAAATACACATCTGATTTGAATTAACAAAGAAACGGGTAACTATAAACATAAACTTTAAATGCGCAGTATTCGTTGCTTGCGCAATGCATTGAACTAGTTGTAAAAACACCAGCTAGACCCTTTATATAACTTCTTGTGGCCATGAATGGAAATCTTTAGGTGGAGGACAACGAGCAGCGTTAGTTCAATACAACAAGGATTCAATGCATGAATCAAAATATCATTCAAGTTCGTCCAGTTCGTGTCTGTTGTTCGTTTTGACGAGCTGCAGCTTTGACATCAGAATTACGACCTGATCGTCGTAATTCTTTGAAAAAAAACCTCCTAGACCAGCAGGACTGACTGACTGACTCAGTTTAGTTTTACGCCGCTTTTAGCAATATTCCAGCAATATCACGGCGGGGGACACCAGAAATGGGCTTAACACAGTGTGCCCATGTGGAGAATCGAACCCGGGTCTTCGGACCAGCAGGACATGCAAACGGGACAACTATAGGCGCCAGTATGTTGGTAGTAGGTTGACTCTTCAATGTATGTATGCAGAGGCGCCCTAGCAGTCAGAGTGATCCCACTACAGATCAAACTTGTCTGTTAGGCTGTCCCATTGCATTTCGTTGGCTTTCGGATGACCTTCGGTACCGCATCATGACACATCCCCATCCAGGAAGTCCAGACTGAATCTGGACGCATCTGAAAACCATTACATGACAACGTGAATACATGGCACGTTATGGGTAACAACGTCTTTAACACGAGCTAACTCTTGTTCCTTCATCAGGTGAAATAACTTAATGAGACCATTGGTGATTCTCCCAGTTTCTGCGTTCCAACGAACATTTGCGTGTGGCTAGAAGGTGTCGAACTTTTAATTGTGGTACAAGAAATGGGCCTCCTTTCACACAGCACTGAGATGATCGAAAGTCACTAAGGTATCCTTAGCGCAATGTTAAAAAATTGGAGTTAAAGTTAACCTTAGTATAGGTTCCTTCGTGCAAGGAACCAATGGTCTGAACCTAGACGATTTCCAATAGTTGGGCCGATAACTTTAACTTCGGTGAGATGGACAACTCAGACTGCGATGCCGCTGGTTGTTTGTAATCGATTCTCTTAAAACCTGGTCTCTGAATGAGGACAAGGAAGATCAACAACACTAACAGCTCAGAATGATTTGAAAACGCTAAGTTGATCAGGGATGACCCACTACATGAATGGAGTACATTATCCACATGCTATTTATCATGTGTGTTTGGGCGTTAGGTTTTCATTACAAATGTTCTACCTTGGCAGTCATTTTTGAAAGCCATTTTCTATTTCTAATACATTGTTATTCTCTTTTTCGGAAAGTATGTTTTGACAATGAAATTACTTATGTTCATACACTAACTCAAACTGCATTTGATTAAAGTTTGACACATCGATTTGCAATTTGATGGACTCCGATTAACCTCATGCCATAAATGTGTGTGCATGTGAAAAACCCGGAACTACACGCATCGCAAAATCTTGTTCGCTACGAAGACATTGGCTTATAAACTTGGCTACATGTTTCACTGAGAAAAGGTCTTGTTGAATGAATGATTTATAATATTTCACCCCAAACTCCATTCACCTAAGAAGCCATTTCACCTGAAACTGATTCACGTGAATCCCAATCACGTGGTGCCCTTTTGGTTATGTACCTCACAGTGGCGGCAAACATGTAATAGTTAGTATGTAATGGGCATTTAAAAAGTTATTAAGACGTCGTTCAGCATAATTGCTACTATGTGTAAAAATAATGTCCTCATGTATACATTCACGCACATTCATAGCGTCGAAACGTGCTTCCATACAATGAAGAAGTTACAAATATATCTAGTTTTCAGTGACTTAAGCGCCTGACATACTTTGGGATTAGTTCCATGGTTAATTCCTGAATATAAACGTACGTCATATATTTAACGAAAATGTCTGATAATAACGACAAGTGCTTTAAAATAACCTACCAATGCACAAAGCTTTGATCATGACTATCAACGTTGATCATGAAAATTACATGGGTATCGCATATAAGGAATCTTCTATTTTCCCATGGTTATGGTTTTATATGGTTATGTCAGTCAGTTGGAAGTGTAGACATGTTTCTTAATGAATTTAGAACTCGGTCTGTTAATATGTTTCACCAAGAATGGCATTCCACTTTAGAAGATAGTTCACGATATGCTTACTATAGAACTTTCAAGACCTTACTTCAACCAGAAATTTATTTATCAATACTCACGACGGAAAGTTTAAGGAAGCATTTCATTAAATATCGGTTAGGTTTGATAGACCTTTTTTGTAAATGAAGGAAGAAAACATTCCATGGCAAAATCGAAACGAATCTGTCAGTTATGCGATGTAGAAATAGAACATGAAATTAACTTTGTCTTCGTCTGTCCATTTTATAGTGACCTTCGAAAGAAATATATTAAAGATTATTTGTTAGGGATGCCGCCATTGAAAGCTTTCGTATATATTTTAACGACTTAGATCGAATCCCATATTTTAAACCTTTCACTATATATTAAACATGCACTAGTAAAAAAGAAATGAACTGTTGAAAGAACGTGTTACTTCCTGTGTGTATCAGTATGAGGTATACATACTCTCTTGTATATGGGCCAGAAGCCTTCTGTACAATAAACCTTTTGACTTGACTTGACTATCAACTCGAGAGTAAAGGCTGTGTGTTCATGAAGACGCCGATATTTAGTTCAGCTCAATCACAGTGACCTGGGAGACCTAAAGCTCAGTACCAGTACACGTCTAATTATTGAAATTATCGTCCATCTCCTCTGTGGCCTGGTGCGTAGCGTACCTGCCCGGAGGTAGGAAAGTAGGTGGATCGATGCCCGACTGCTCCATACCAAAATACGTTAAAAGACACTTGTTGTTACCTTGCCTTCTGCTAGTTTAGGAGTGGTCTGCACGGGGTCAGTGTACTGTGAGTTATTGTATGAATGTTAATGGCGTCTCATTTGTTCAGGACTTTTAGACATGAATTCTGTGAAGACCAACACATGGTTTCATATATGGTACTATCGACAGTATAATTCTTAACAAGTCGTATCATGAACAATTTACCACTCTTCATCATTATCGTATCATGAACTGCGTGTCGTTACACATATGGTATCATGTACAATGTGTCGTTACACATATCGCATCATGAACAATGTGTCGTTACACACATCGTATCATGAACAATGTGCCGTTACACATATCGCATCATGAACAATGTGTCGTTACACATATAGTATAATGAACAATGTGTCGTTACACATATCGCATCATGAACAATGTGTCGTTACACATATCGCATCATGAACAATGTGTCGCTACACATATCGTATAATGAACAATGTGTCGCTACACATATCGTATAATGAACAATGTGTCGCTACACATATCGTATACTGAACAATGTGTCGTTGCACATATCGTATAATGAACAATGTGTCGTCTCACTAATTGTAACATGAACAATGTTCCACTTTACATATTGAACGTAGACCCGTGTTGTCACACCCTGACGGGGGAATCCCCTGGAGTTTCAGGATGACTCAGAGGTATTGCGTACCATGTTTTAATGAACAGGTTAAAAAAATTCTCCGTCGCCTCAGGTCGAAGTAAACATTGCAGGACCGAGGTTAGTCATGCAGGGAAATTTTGCTGTTTGCTGTCGTGCAAGAAGGTTCGTCCATGATGCGTTTACCCCACAACAGAATAAAGGAAATGAGAAATAACACACAGGACCGGCCATTTTAATATTTGGGGGAAGTAGATCGGAGCAGCATGGGTGCCTATCCAGTATACCGCTAAATATTCGATTCTATCCCGACATGTTATAATTCTCCACTGGTCCACGAGCGAGTGAGTGATGCGGGTGAGTGAGTGAGTGAATGAGTGAGTGAGAGAGGCGGGTGAGTGAGTGAGTGAGTGTAGTTATATGGTCGCCAGAGAGGTTCTGTTCGAGGCTGTAAAATTGGTTTTGTTAGTGACTGAGGCCAAGTCGTGTGAGTGATAGAGTGAGTGGTCACATGGCTGTGTGAGGGGATGACTGAGTGATTAAGTGGTTGTCTTAGTGCTGTAGTGAGACTGAGTGATTAAGTGGTTGTCTTAGTGCTGTAGTGAGTGACTGAGTAATTAATTAAGTGGTTGTCTTAGTGCTGTAGTGAGTGACTGAGTGATTAAGTGGTTGTCTTAGTGCTGTAGTGAGTGACTGAGTGATTAAGTGGTTGTCTTAGCGCTGTAGTGAGTGACTGAGTGGTTAATTAAGTGGTTGTCTTAGTGCTATAGTGAACGACTGAGTGATTAAGTGGTTGTCTTAGTGCTGTAGTGAGTGACTGAGTGATTAAGTGGTTGTCTTAGTGCTGTAGTGAGTGACTGAGTGGTTAATTAAGTGGTTGTCTTAGTGCTGTAGTGAGTGACTGAGTGATTAAGTGATTAAGTGGTTGTCTTAGTGCTGTAGTGAGTGACTGAGTAATTAATTAAGTGGTTGTCTTAGTGCTGTAGTGAGTGACTGAGTGATTAAGTGGTTGTCTTAGTGCTGTAGTGAGTGACTGAGTGATTAAGTGGTTGTCTTAGCGCTGTAGTGAGTGACTGAGTAATTAATTAAGTGGTTGTCTTAGTGCTGTAGTGAGTGACTGAGTGATTAAGTGGTTGTCTTAGCGCTGTAGTGAGTGACTGAGTAATTAATTAAGTGGTTGTCTTAGCGCTGTAGTGAGTGACTGAGTAATTAATTAAGTGGTTGTCTTAGCGCTGTAGTGAGTGACTTAGTGGTTAATTAAGTGGTTGTCTTAGTGCTGTAGTGAGTGACTGAGTGATTAAGTGGTTGTCTTAGCGCTGTAGTGAGTGACTGAGTGGTTAATTAAGTGGTTGTCTTAGTGCTGTAGTGAGTGACTGAGTGATTAAGTGGTTGTCTTAGTGCTGTAGTGAGTGACTGAGTGATTAAGTGGTTGTCTTAGTGCTGTAGTGAGTGACTGAGTGGTTAATTAAGTGGTTGTCTTAGTGCTATAGTGAGTGACTGAGTGATTAAGTGGTTGTCTTAGTGCTGTAGTGAGTGACTGAGTGATTGAGGGGTTGTCTTAGTGCTGTAGTGAGTGACTGAGTGGTTAATTAAGTGGTTGTCTTAGTGCTATAGTGAGTGACTGAGTGATTAAGTGGTTGTCTTAGTGCTGTAGTGAGTGACTGAGTGATTAAGCGGTTGTCTTAGTGCTGTAGTGAGTGGCTGAGTGATTAAGTGGTTGTCTTAGTGCTGTAGTGAGTGAATGAGTGATTAATTAAGTGGTTGTCTTAGTGCTGTAGTGAGTGACTGAGTGGTTAATTAAGTGGTTGTCTTAGTGCTGTAGTGAGTGACTGAGTGGTTAATTAAGTGGTTGTCTTAGTACTGTAGTGAATGACTGAGTGATGAAGTGGTTGTCTTAGCGCTGTAGTGAGTGACTGAGTGATTTAGCGGTTGTCTTAGTGCTGTAGTGAGTGGCTGAGTGATTAAGCGGTTGTCTTAGTGCTGCAGTGAGTGAATGAGTGATTAATTAAGTGGTTGTCTTAGTGGTGGTGTGTGTGGTGGTGGGAGCGGTGGTGAGAGTGGTTGTGAGAGTGGTTGTGAGAGTGGTTGTGAGAGTAGTTTAGTGACTGACTGATATAATCTACAAGACCCCGTGTAGAATTAATGGTTGCTATCCAGTTGCAATCTAACTGGTGTTTTGAAGTAGATACCAGAATCTGATACATGATCATGAATGTGATGTGTAGCTGACAAATGGATGTAGCTGACAGATAGGTCCTGTGCGAAACGTTGTTGAAAGCATGTACTGGAGTACAGACAGATAATAGCTCTACAAAATGATGTTGAAAACATGTGCTTGATTTCAGACAGGTATTTCCTTCAGTTGGCCTATGAACGATGACACAAGCTTTAATCTAATGTCACATCATTTCTACAGCATTTACTGTCACTCAGGACAATTCCTTGTATCCATGTCTTATAGCTGTGTGTGTATACTTTCTTGTCTGCGTCCCACAGGTAGAGGAGCGAGGGACGTGGGGAGGCAGGTTCGAGTTCCTGCTGTCCTGTGTGGGCTACGCTGTGGGGCTGGGCAATGTCTGGAGGTTCCCCTACCTCTGCTACAAGAATGGAGGAGGTCAGTAAAATCACCAAGTCATCATTTTACTTTATTTGTTTGCAGACATGACCTTTATTGTTTGACTTAGCCCATATGTCTACGCTTCTTCGTTGTGGTTTAGGGATTTCCTTTATCGTTTAATGCAAGCCACATTACTCTTGTGTTTTCAGCCACCTTTCTTATCCCCTATGCCATCATGCTGGTCATTGCTGGTCTGCCGTTATTCTTCCTGGAGCTGGCCGTCGGTCAGTTCGCCTCCGAGGGGCCGATCACCGTGTGGAAGGTCAGCCCTGCGTTCCATGGTAGGTAGAAATGTATTACATTCAGTAGCTTACGATTTTGGAGTAATGTTCGTTATATTTGTGTTGCAATGAAGGACGCCATGCTATTTTAAAAGGTGATCCCATGGTTCACTCAGAAACAGATTAGGAAAGCAAAACGTATAATTCAACGCAATCTTGTGTTAAACCTTCACCTTGCTAAAAGCCCTAAAACATATTTCGCAACATCGATTTGTACCTGTCTGTCTGACACAACTGTGTGCCTTACCTGTTCCAGGACACGTTGATCATGGGTTAAAATAATATGTTCACCCTGATTGTGAAACATCGTTGGTGAGCACCTGTGTCTGTTGATTTCACCAAATTGGTCAACGTCAGTCATTCCTTACAAGACGTTTTAAAACGGCACGGTTACGTTCGTTGTTATATGGTCCAGTTTGTGAGTCACTTCTAACTCAAACATTCCAGGTATCGGGTTCGCTATGGTGACCATCAGTGGCATGGTGTCTATCTACTACAACGTCATCATCATGTACGCCATCTACTACATGTTTGTCAGCTTCGTCAGCCTCGACGACACGGTTCCCTGGGCGACGTGTGACGGACCGTGGATAACCAACTCATGCATGGCCACCTATCCGCCTCTTAAGACAATGAATGAAACGGATAGGATGTCTAAACTCTACGGTAAGTGAAATATTTTAAGTTCCGAAACCACCCATACCACGTTTTTCCTAAAAACACCTCCATTGGTTGCCAGGATAATTCTTGCCTATTTTCACTGACCCAAGCACTCCTGACACTCCTGAGTACGTATTTTGACACTCCAGAACTGTCATGTCTTCAGGCTATCATTTCCCCAATGTGATCCATTCTTTGGCTTGGGGGGTGGTAGAGAGCCTAGGGTAACCTAGTTGTTAAATTGTCGGTTGTCTACATTCAAATTTGACGAACTTTTACCTCAAAGATAAATTAGATATATCTTTATGAGTGTGCAACTTATTTAGTGATTATATTGACGTCTATGTCATTGAAGAGCATTATTCTTCTGTCAACGTTCTCTCAGTGTTCTTATCTGATGGTTTCCCGCCAACATCACTAAAGAGGTGGGCGGTGGGGTAGCTTAGTGGTTAAAGCGTTCGCTCGTCACGCCGAAGGCCCGGGTTCGATTCCCCCATGATTACAATATGTGAAGCCCATTTCTGGTGTTCCCCCGCCGTGATATTGCTGGAAATTGCTTAAAGTGGCGTACAACCCAACTCACTCACTCATCCTTCTTGTGGGACTCACTACTTCTTTGAAATCAAATAAGTAAGCTAGCTAGCTTTACAATCTTCGATCGAAACTAAAAACATATTTTTCCACTTCCTACAATCAGTTGCATTCGGTTTATTCATGACTGATGTTCTGTAGCGCCATGTGCACGTATAAGTGCACGGGATTGGCGCATTAGATACACGCATTTTTGAACAACATCTTATACAAGATATGGTCACTGGTAGCGTCTGATAGTGCTGTCAGTGTGCTGATTTGCTTGATCCAGATCACATGCAATCGCTTCATAATGTTGTATATAACATTCACCCAACTGTTGTCTTTGTAAGACCTTAGTAGCATCTGTTCTTACTCTAATCAATATAAAATCCAAAACGCCACTGACAAAGCATGACCAGGCCAAATTATCCCCTGAAACAGATCCATCGGGTGTTAAATACTAAACAGCCGTATAGGTCATATGGCTGGATCGGTGACATTCAGTGATGGCACCGGTGTTCAAGGGTAAGCAGGTCCTGCCCAACTGATAGTACGAGTCACTCAAACAATTTGTATAGATTGCATTAGGTCTTTGTTTGCACTCCGGCGGACTATGGACAATTAGGCTTTGCCAGACAATGAAATGCTGACCATTTCAACCCAGTGACACGAAAGTGCATTTTCTGATTTGGGTGAAACTAAGAACCGATGTTTGTTTTTTTATTACCTTTTGTGCGTACAGGTGCAGAGATGTCGTTGTTCGTGTACTAACATACATGTTCTCAATATGTTATTGATATTTTTAATGAAAAAGCGTCAGCTTCCGCATTGGCGAGAGCGTCTGCCCAGTGAGCAACAGGTAGTGGTTCGATTCCTAGGCAGAATGGAGCTTTGTATGCCTGTATTGAATAGTGAGTGAGGGAGTGAGTTTAGTTTTACGCCGCTTTCAGCAATATTCCAGCAGTATCACGGAGGGACACCCTATCTCAGTTGACAAACGTAAGTGCACTCTTTGTCACAGTTGACAAAAGTAACTGAACTCTGTCACAGTTGGCAGAGTTAAGTGTTCTCTGCGTCACAGATGATGAATGCTATTTCAATTCACTCTTTGACACAGATGGCTAACGTTAGTGCACTCTTTGTCACAGATGGCTAACGTTAGTGCACGCTTTGACACAGATGGCTAACGTAAGTGCACACTTTGACACAGATGTCTAACGTTAGTGCACTCTTTGACACAGATGGCTAACGTTAGTGCACTTTGTCACAGACGGCTAACGTTAGTGCACTCCTTGACACAGATGGCTGACGTTAGTGCACTCTTTGTCACAGACGGCTAACGTTAGTGCACTCTTTGACACAGATGGCTAACGTTAGTGCACTCCTTGACACAGATGGCTGACGTTAGTGCACTATTTGACACAGATGGCTGACATTAGTGCACTCTTTGACACAGATGGCTAACGTTAGTGCACACTTTGACACAGATGGATAACGTTAGTGCACTCTTTGACACAGATGGCTAACGTTAGTGCACTCTTTGTCACAGATGGCTAACGTTAGTGCACTCTTTGACACCGATGGCTAACGTTAGTGCACTCTTTGTCACAGATGGCTAACGTTAGTGCACTCTTTGACACAGATGGCTAACGTTAGTGCACACTTTGTCACAGATGGCTAACGTTAGTGCACTCTTTGACACAGATGGCTAACGTTAGTGCACTCTTTGACACAGATGGCTAACGTTAGTGCACTCTTTGACACCGATGGCTGACGTTAGTGCACTCCTTGACACAGATGGCTGACGTTAGTGCACTCATTCATGGCATTCATCACCACTCGCCCCTTTCCATAACCCTTAAGAAGATCGCTATTCGGCTTGTCCCGGACTAACACGAGTTGGCCACGAATGCTCAAATGGGTCACATGCATCTTTCTTTTAGCAAGGATTTAGTGTTGGGGGCAGACAGAATAGTGTTTGTACTCCGATATATATCCCGTCTGCAAGGGATAAATAGATAAATTACAACTCAAACCGAATAATGGCCTCTGGTGTCCCTTGACTCCTTTTCATGTTGGAACGCCGCTAGCATTTTAGGGACACCTACCGAAAATCGTCTTTAATAATGTCATTCCAGTTGTGATGACAGCTGCAATCAAACTCCTCACGGCGGAGCTATTCATACCAGGAAGGTAACCCAGGTGTCAAAGACTCAAGCGCTGATACAGAGTTTGTATACACAAACGGTGTCACGCATCTGTACAAGCTTTCAGTCAGTCGCAATGCTTTATATTTTACGAGCGCCTCAATCAATTTCCTGGCACTTGCACTCACCAGTCATAGAGTTTATATAGACATGAACTGACGACCGATCTGAACTGAAGGTGAGTTGCCAATTTCCATTGACGATGACCAGTGCTATTCTCTCCTGCCAACGAATTCCTCCCACAGCACAACACCCACAACGCAACATGCCGCTTTTCGTTCCCTCTGTCAGCCACGTCTCTGTCAACGTCTCGGCCCATCTCAGCCTCTAACGACAATGGGGTCTGTAAATGTCTGTCCCCTGTCAGGTCTGCATGGTCCGATTCCTTGAGCCCAGAGTCTCCTGGTCATTGTCTGCTGACTGACCATATACCCCAGGCATTCGTCGCTGATGGAGATGCAAGTCTTCACCGGTCAGTATTACCCTGTGTCTACTTGTTCGTGGCCACTCGGACAATTGCCACCGGAGAATTGCCACCTGGACAAATGCCACCCGGACAATGCCACCGGAGAATTGCCACCTGGACAAATGGCACCAAGAACAATTGCCACACCGCGCAACTGCCACCCGGATAATTACCACCCAAAACATAAAAAATTATTCAGTTTCTTTACCAACTTTTATTCAGTTTGACATGGTAATCCATAACAAATACATCGTAATAACATATTATTCCATGTAACTAATTATAACTTTCAGCGACAGAAGACATCTCCAGTAACACCGACACGAATCTCCAGGAAGGACAGAAGGATGGAATGGTCGATGGTCTAGCAGCACTGCTTCACCTTCAGAGTCGACAGACATTAGCAAATCGTTCTGAACACAGAGTAGATTCCGTACTGACTGCATAGTCTCGTGTACATTTCCAGTCTTGAGATGAGCTTGGAGACCACTGACTACAACATGCTCCATGAGCTTAGATAGAAACGTGAGGTTCGACACAGGCCTGTAGTTCTTTCCAATCTCAACTCCCTGGGGAACATACAACTCTTGCTGCCTACTAGGCGCACCGAGTTAATGTGGCTTTTCCATCCTTACGAGGTACCCATTCACAGCTGGGTGGACTGGGACACATAGTCACAGCACTTTGGCCAAGTTTACTGCACGTTGCTGTACCTGCGTCTAGGTGTTTGCACGTATTCATGTGGCCACCATCTGGTCATCTACCAACGAATTCGTGGGTTCTTTTAAGTGCACAGGGTTGTGTACTGTACACTAGGGGTTGTGACAACACTGAAAGAGTCTGCACACAAAGTTGACTCCAAGGTTTTTACACCCGGTCACAGGTGAGCTCGATCCCGTCACCTCAAGCTCGCTGGATTACTAGTCCAGGGCGCCCTAAACTATGTTTTTTCAGGAGGGGTCGTATAAATGCTTAACATCAAACAGCTTACATTCATATTTCACACGCTCATAGTCAATCCAATGTTTATACTTTGACCGATTTTCATTTTGCAGACCTTCTGTACAACACCTCATGCATTGACAATCTTCTCGGGAACTTCTCTGAAAAGTACAACGACACATTCGCAGACAAATCAGAGCTGAACTCCACCATGGTCATGACTAAGCTCGCGGACGATTGCAAAATAAAGTTCTACTCACCAAGCGCTGAGTACTGGGAGTAAGTATTGTCGTTTGTGAGTACGTATATGTACGAATCACCAAGGGTAGTATACTGTGGGTGCGTATCTGTACGTATCACCTAGTGTAGAATACTTGTAAGTACGTATCTTTACGTGGCACCTAGTGTAGAATACTGTAAGTGCGTATCTGTACGTAGCGCCTAATGTAGAATATTGTAAGTACTTATCTGTACGTAGCACCAAGGGTAGAATGCAATGAGTGCGTATCTGTACGTAGCACCAAGTGTAGAATACTGTTAGTACATGTCTGTGTTTATATATATATATATATATATATATATGTGTGTATTCGAGTGTTGAATACACTAGACTAGTCTTCACTGAGGACAATGCTAGGTCACATCGTGCACGCGTCGTTTGCAACTCTACTTTGGCCACAAGGAGTCCAGCTCTCAATCTCATAAAGTATATTTGGGACATTATGGGTTGTACAATACTTCAACATCATATTCTACAGTCATTGAGGAAGAAGATGTTATTGCAGTTGGCGGAAGTTACACCAGATATTGACATTGTGCTTATGTGATGATTTTGCATGTCAGAAGGTTGGAAATATGACTGCACTTAGTGATGCCATACCACCATACATGTAGTCATCAACACTACAACATGAGTAAATGCGTTGCCATGTTTGCTTCTCTGAGTTCATAGCAGTTTTTCTGTCCTTTTGCGCTCAGATTTGCTCAGATTCCCTGAGGGTCCATTTATCCAGAGAATAACTTAGTCTCACGTTTGGATTGGTTCTTTTGCAATGGTTGTTGGTAATATATTGATAACATGAAAAATATGAAGTGTTGCAATATGTTTTGCATGTTTCTATATTGCCGTAAATTTGTTAGAGGCAGCTTAAGCCTATAGTCAGTCCAGTTATCCCTTTTTTCAAGGCGCTTTGTCCTCCGTATTCAAGAATCTGATGGCTTAGGAGACCTTGGAGGAATCAGCCTGAAGTTCGCAGTGTGTCTCTTCCTTGCTTGGGTCCTGATCTTCGCCTGTCTCATGAAGGGAGTGAAGTCGTCCGGCAAGGTATACCAGCACTGATGTTAGAACCCTCTCTACTTTGTTTGTTTATTTGTTTGTTTGTTTGTTTTACCGTCTCGAAAGTGTGGGAGCATAACATAACAGCCAAAACAAACGTATTACAAGCCGATAACCCCTTCGGTTGAACAAGAACAGAGTTGACACAACTCTAAGTCTCTTTACCGTGCACATAAAAAACATCATCCCTATCCCACCCTTGCCTATTGGTTGCCTATTGGTTAAAGCGTTCGCTCGTCACGCCGAAGACCAGGGTTCGATTCCCCACATGGTTACAATGTTTAAAGCCCATTTCTGGTGTCCCCTGTCCTGATATTGCTGGAATAGTGCTAAAAGCGGTGTAAAAGCATACTCACTCACTCATTATTTGTCGGTGTTGTTGTAGTCGTTCAATGGCCTAGGCAGGCTTTTGGAGATATGTGTTCATATAATCCTAACGACTGAACACAAACCATTTTTTAAAATTGAACATGCAAATAAATTTAAGGTTGAAGTTTGGGCAAACTATGTGAGGAATGAAGGAAATGAATCCTGGTTTGATATAAGGATCCATTCATATCATGCGTGACCTGATCACTTCAACAATTGAGACTGCCTCCGTGGTGTAGTGGTTAGAGCGTCGCGAGTTCGATCCTCGATCGCGTCATACCAAAAGACGTTAAAATATGGTACTTGTTGGTCCCTGCCTGGCGCTCGGCATTAATGGGTACAACAAGGACTGGTCAGGTCGGAGTCAGTATAATGTGTCTGAGTGAGGTATTCATGCTTAACAGCGGCATGGTATCTCAGTGAGCTAGTACTATATAAGTACTTAAGTCTGGGCTAGTACAAGCAGCCACACATACACACGCATGCACGTCGTCATATGAGCAAAATATTCTTTAAACTATATTTCACCTCACCATCTCACTTCTACAATTGAACGTAATATCTGACCAGGATCAAATAATGATTAGTTAAAACGTTTCAAAGTGGAGCTAAGCTGTAGGCATTAATGTATTAATCTGACACAATACAGGATAACATGGCAGATTATTCTTATATTCTAATATAGTTATTTGAGCAGAGCAATGAACAATTGCTGCATGTAGATACAGAATTCTGTATCAAAGAATCATCACAATGTAAATATTGCAAGGGATAATAATCTCCATTGACACTAGAGCTAAATCTGTCCCTTGACATTTCAAGGAACTTGAGGTTACTTAATCAATCTGTACTTAATATTTTTGTTAGGTGGCATTTACCTACAATATATATCTTGTAATATTTGCTGAAATAACATATCTTTTACATATGTGTATGCATCTTATTAGCTTTGACAATATTACTGTATTATTTGCTGAAGGCCTAAACAGCGGAGTAAATATTGCCGTGTCAAAGTCAAAGTCAAAAGATGTTTATTGCATGAAAGGCCTCCAGCCCATATACATGAGAGTTACAGTGATAAAGGAATATTCTGGATATTTACATATATATTTAAGGGTATACAATTCGCTTTATAAGAAGATCTCTTTTAGCTAATGCATATTTTATATATAAGGACAACTGAGCAAGAATATTTTCATTATTGGTTTGCAACAAAGATATATATGCATAATGGGGCTGCTTTACAAGAAGATGGTGCGGTATATATTTCTGTCTTAATTCGTGATAACAAGGACATATCAGGGTAAAATGAATTTCATTTTCTGTTCCAACGTTACATAAAGGACAATATCGACTTTATTTCTGGACAGAGGATTTTCTACCCTCATTAATCATTAAAGATAATAAACCTAAACGATACTTTACGAACATTGTTCTTAAACTATATGTTGTAATTATTGATAAGTATTTTTCTGGCTGGAGTAACGTTTTAAAGGTCCTGTAATATTCATATGGTGAGCTTGAATCTAGGGTGGATTTCCATTCTTGATTGAACATATCTATTGATCTAACACGAAATTCATTAATAAACCAGTTCACATCGCCAATTGTTTGGCACAACCATACGAAACGGAAACCGTGAGAAAATAATAAATTTCTGATATCAGTTACCCAAGTGTGTTTTCCCAAATTATCCAGATTTAAAAGCATATTGTAAGCTAATTTTGGCAGACGTTGTTCGTGCATATTTAAAACCTTAAACCAGTATTTTAAACATCTTATTTGAGAATTGATATACCAAGGAAATCTGCCACATTCGCCATATACCATGCAGTTAGGTGTCTTTGAGCTTACATTGAGGTACTTTTTACAGGCTAAAAGATGCACTCTCTCAATACAATCAAAACGCTGAAAACCCCATATTTCCGATCCATATAATAAAATGGGTTGAATCTGAGAATTAAATATCTTAAAAAACACATTGGGTGACATAGTTCCAACCGATAAAACTTGTATTAAAGCCTCTGTTCCACGTAAAGTTAAGTTATGTGCACATTTATTCAAGTTCATTCTGTTTGAAAACAAAAAACCCTAAGTAAGAATACTTATACATTAATCAGCTGACCATCATAAAACCAGCGTTCGTTTGTGGCCACGGGACCGCCCCTCCTAAATATCACAATTTCTGTTTTACTTAAATTTACTGTAAACTTCCATTCTTTAGTATAACTTTCTAAGATATTTAATTGATTTTGTAAACCGACCACAGTATCCGAAACTAAAATAACGTCGTCAGAAAAAAGGAGCACTAGGACTTCTACAAGATCTGGGTACATTTGGATTCCATGTTTTCCAGCTAAATTGATATCGTGATATAATTCACTAGCGAAGAAGGAAAATAGGAGTGGACTTAAGCAGCAACCTTGTCTTAAACCAAGTGGGCAATCGCAAAAATCTGTAACCCCGTCTTTGCAACGCACACAAATCGAACGTTAGAATACATTGATTTGAGAATGCTAATCATTTTCCCTCTTAACCCTGCCTTGCGTAAACACTGCCATAATTTAAAACGATTGACTGAGTCGAATGCCTTTTTTAAAATCTTCAAATGCTATGTACAACTTATGTTTTCTTTTTGATAGTGATTTTTGGACTAGTGCATACAGAGTAAATATATGATCAGTGGTAGAATATCCCTTTCTAAATCCTGCCAGGGATTCAGGAATCTTATCACGCATATTCGCCCAGTTTGATAGTCTATTGTTCAATATCAACGTAAATACTTTCCCCAAGATACTCATTAATGATATACCCCGATAATTATCTGGATCGTTTCTGTCGCCCTTTTTATGAAGTGGATTTCTTATAGAGCTTGCAGGGAAAAATTCCATGTTCAAACAGCTTATTGAAACATTTCGTAAGGAAACACAAACCCCGCATGAAACCGATATAAACTTTTAATCCTTCCCCAGGTCGTGTACTTCACCGCCACTTTCCCCTACATCATCCTGGTTGTCCTGCTCATCCGCGGTCTGACTCTAGAAGGATTCGAGGAGGGCATACATTTCTATATGACTCCACAGTTTGACAGGCTGAAAGAGGCTAAGGTAAGGAAATTCATACAGGCCGGAACGATGTTTTTGTGGACATGATCGTTAAACGTGACAGGTATATGCGTTCTCCAATTAAAATTAACTCTTAAAGATACTATGGAAATCCTTTTATCATCGAACATCCTAAGTGCCCATAAAGGTTATTGAACATTAGTGCACATGACATAATGAAATCGCCTACAGCACAAGCATATGTTGTGTAGCTGACAGTGCGGTACGTCTAGTAGCACGACCTGGTTCATTCCTCTGATTGTTATTATGTCAAGGTGAGTGTAGTTTGTTGTCTTAGTTCCTGCTTCCCATATCAATCACTGTGTCCTTGTGTTCTCAATTCCCGGAATTCTTGTCCAGGTATGGGGAGACGCAGCCACCCAGATCTTCTACTCCCTGGGAGCCGGATTCGGAGGGCTCTTGACCATGTCCAGTTTCAACAAGTTTAAGAACAACTGTGAACTGTGAGGACTCTCGAGACATTCCAGTCCTGAATTCCCTAACAACCTTCAAACACTGACGCCATTTATATGATATCTCACAATATCTTTTATACCTTAAGTAAACTGAGACTTAGTGTGTGTAGCAATGATTCAAATATTACTGATACTTGTCTTTCCGCTTACAATGTACATAATTACAGAAATATGGACGCGACAAACACTTTAAACATCCATACGAAATCTCTGCTAAAAGCAGAGTCGATTGTACAGTTGTGACATTATCATGAGCACATATTAGTTGCAGCTGTGTTACAGCTGTACAATGTTGTTCTGTAACAAATCTAGTCTGGACCAGACAACCCTGTGACAGGCTCAACAGGTTACACACAGGTCTTTCGATTCATACATTAATCCCTAATTAAATATATTTCAACGCTGTTAATTTCAGGGATGCTCTTGTCGTAGCCATCATCAACTGCTGCACCAGTGTGTTCGCCGGCTTCGCCATCTTCTCCCTCCTGGGTCACATGGCATACACCACCAACCGAGACGTGGAAACCGTGGTCGACCAGGGTAATAAATTATCATTCATACCACTAATCATACCCATGAATGATTGACAGCTTAGTGTTCACAATTGACAACTGGATATATAGCATACCAAACCTTTCTCATTCTCATTTCACGTCATCTTTAATTTTGTTTCAGGTCCTGGTCTTGCTTTCATTGCCTACCCTGAAGGCATTGCTAAACTTCCTCTGTCACCGCTGTGGGCATTCCTGTTCTTCTTCATGTTGCTTACCCTTGGCTTGGACAGTCAGGTAGGACACACATCTGTGTCTCCATATAGCTGGGCGGTTGCTGTGTGCTGCGTTAAACAACAAACAAAATATCTAGAACATTGGTAAATAGAGGACCTGGAGAACTACAAATAGATTCAGTCGATTAATCTTGTGTACAACTTCATGAGCTGTTAATTAGTTTGACTAACTAGTTTCGAACTTTGCATGCGTGTGTGTGTTGCATCTTAATGGCATTAACGAATTTGTATAATGCTTACAGTTTGCCATGGTTGAGACGTTGGTCAGCGGCATCAGTGACATCTTCCCGCGTTTCCTGAGGAAACACAAAATTGCCTTCACGGCCATCTGCTGTCTGATTGGCTTCCTTCTTGGATTGCCCCAGGTTACAAAGGTAAACACATGCAACAATAGAATGTTACTGAAAAGAATCTGACATAGAATTGATAAGATCCTCTCCCCTTTGAGTTAGGTTGCCGGAAATAGGGATCTCAACAGGTTATTGTGTATCCTGCTTCTATCTTGTAGACTTTGTGAATGACCTCCTCTTGCTCTGTCTGCACCTATAGGAGTAGATATTCTGTGTCCTTCTATTAATAATTTGTACGCGTCCTCCGTTTGCTCTCTCGTAGATCTACGACCCGTGTATTTGTACATATCAAGTGGTTAATCCCAGTATATATCAAGGGCTTCCCTGATTTATTTAACACGAAAAGCAAATGTCATTCTTGCAACACTAATGCGTAATACTTCTGGTGGAACTGGCTGAGAAAGCTACAAATCTATGCAATGGTTTCCACCAATGGTTATAGGTTTGCGGCATTTCCTAGTTGCGTTGTGTTGGGTAGCTTGGCCACTCCAACAATTGCTAAGAGCGGAGGTCCACCTTCCAGGATCTTCACGGTGAGATGCTGGTGAACCGCTGTTACAATAACCATACAGCGGTGGGAGATGGAAACTGCATTAATTGGACATTAGACACAGTGTCACATTAAACATTGCCTTCCTCCAGGGTGGTATCTACATGCTGACACTGATGGACTGGTACTGTGGCAGCTACAACCTGATGCTGGTGGCTCTGGCGGAGATCATCTGCCTCATGTATGTCTATGGTAAGTAGATGCAGTCATGTTTTTGGATTCGCTGTTACCTTTCGTCCTCAACTCATCGCTTTTTCTTATTGAATGTTTCGTTAAAATTTAAGGCTTAGTAAGTTGGTTCTGGCCACAACACGGAGCCAGACGCTCTTACATGCCGTTCCTGGAGGACATCGAGATGATGATTGGCCACAAGCCCAACCCCTACTGGATCATCAACTGGGCCTTCCTGACTCCTGTCGCTATCCTTGTAAGTACTGACGTCCTTGTTTAGATGGTTTGATAGAAGGGCAATGCGTTAACGCGTTTAACCTTGCAAATTAAATACTATGAGTAATTTCGTTGACGCCGGGTTTGAGAAGGTAGAGCTTCCGGATATTCCTTTGGCTATGTATAACGGTCTATAGCCAATCGACGCCAATTTACGGTAGAATTTAAATATACCAGTAATTCGAAAAATATCCAGCACACATTTCTGCCATCTTTACAGAAATCAGTAGAATGGTTTGTACTTAGCCTGTTTTTCAATATTTATAGTTCATCGTGATAGTGTCGGCGACCCAGTACACCCCCGCCAATTACGGCGACTACATCTTTCCCCCATGGGCTGAGGGGATTGGCTGGTGCATGGTTGTCGCCCCTGTTGCTATGATCCTCCTCGTCATGATCATTCAGATCATAAGACTCGGTCCAGTAAGTAGCACCAGCATCAGATGAAGATGTTATATGACCAATATATTTTATGTTTATTCACTTCAGATATATACAATGGAGAATATTTTCCAAGAATGATTATTAACTTGTTTAGTGGTTAAATTAACAATGTCTTTAAGAAATGTATTTTCATAAGAGGGGTTAAAATAGATTAGGTGGTCAGTCCTGACCAGTTGTAGATTCCGTGTTATCTTATCTCGAGGGTCTTGGGTGCGTTTTGAAAGTTCTCATTGGTTTGTCTTGTGCAACAGCCACCGTGGTGTTGGAATATTGCCGAGGGCGATATACAACACTATGGCCATTTGGTAGGCTAGTGGTTGATACAATGAACACCGATAGCCAGTCTTTACTGGGAATATTCAAAACATGTACTGTTTTGCCTGATCATGTTCCCCGAACGTATTCCTTTCATCGCTGACTAAAGAGACTTTTGATAAACAACGGTCATTTCAAAGAACGTTGATACAAACGACATAATAATTACACATCAGGTATCTTGGTACTGATTTCTTCCAGCGACGAGCGTTCAGTCCAACAAGGAGCTGGGGACCCGCCAGTCCTGAAGATCGAACAGGGAAATACGCCAGCCTTGGCCGTGTTAATGGCGTCAAGAAGGCACCGCCCAGCGTGTACGAGTCCCCTCCCGACTTTGATGGCATTGACAACAAGACCTTCGACCATAGGCTGTAGCTTTACATATGCAAGAATGCACACTTTAAATAATTTAAATCATTTGTTAGTTATTCCAATACAAAAACAAAATCAGGTTTTATAGCTACATGTCGTCGAAGAAACCCAACTATTTTCAAAGCTCATAACACTGAAATTACAAATCCATGAAGTCTTCAAAATGAACTGCTGGTTAATGTAAAATGTATAAAGTATTTCGTTTCGTCTGGTTTATTATATCAACGTAATATTGGCACATTGAAAATATAAGTTCCCACTGGCCTTCCATCTGATAATACATGATGTAAACAACAGTTTAAAGAAAGCTTAGTGCATCTATTGGAATGTGTTGATTAAGAACAATAAGCTGGCTTGAAAGCATGATTACACAACGTCATTTAGAAAGTGGTCAAAGGTAACATATGTTATATTTGAGAGTACACTTTCTTAGTAAAGTTCAAATTCTAGTACTTTTGGGGTTGAGTCCCATCCGGGATTCGAACCCACACCCTGAGAGTCAGGCACCTAATCGCCAAACGGACACAAACGCACATTTATGCTTATATGTAGTTTCAACACACTTATGTAATTATCTGTGAACCCTTTTACGGTTATTTGAAACGATATGTACAGGTTTTTGAGATAACTTTCGATAGAAGGATTATTTTGGTCACACGGCTTAATGTGTGACAAGGTTTGAAATTCTTCTTATAATCGTGCCAAACCGTGAACAAAATATCGTCTCTCCCTCCTCACACATTTGTGTGTCATTATTATTGCATCAGAGACATGTGAAGTTTTCCACTCAATGGTACAACGAAATGTAGTCACACATAACCAAAATGCTCATTGTATTATATTGTTTAATGTTCCATTCCTTTGTTCACGTATAATGTCCTATATAGAGTTCTACGTTGTCTGTGTTTGGTAAACAGTGCTCGTGGGGTTTCAATTCAGTGGTAAAGGGCTCACTCAGAACCACCCAAACTGAACTGACACACCATTTTATAGCGGCGTTAACTCAATACCCTCACTCACTCTCATAATTAGCATGATTTTAACATATACCGCCCACGTTATGTTTCCTTTTTGTGTTTTTCCTTTTTGTGTCGAAATACGTTTTTCTCCGCGTGTATCAGGAAATGTGTCACCAAAATCAAGCCCTCAAACCAGGAAATGTGTAAATTTCTGGGAATATTTAGAAAATGTGTACATTTACTGAGTGAATCAGGAAATGTGCACATTTCCTAAATATTCCAGGAAAATGTACACATTTCCTGATTTGACACGTTTTCTGTAACATATATATCTTGTACTGACGCAAAAGAACGGAAACTTAATTGTGCCATTTTGGTTTTATCAATAAAAAGTATGGAGCTGTTTTCTAGTTGTGTAACTTGTTTGATTTCTCCTCTCTCGAATTTTGTTTCTGGTAATTTCGATCAGAAGCAATATTATGTAAAGCTATTTAAAGTATGTAAAACACCGACCTTTCCAAATTTTGATAATATTCGTTATAACAACAAAATGCTCGAAATATTACCAAGGTGGCATCAGTGGGTTTTCGTATGTTGGTACTCCTCGCAAGCACGTATGCAAGCCACATTTCTATCAGTTCTCGTTACATTCTGTCTGACCAACATATAACTCACATTTGCTATTTCAGTTGTTGTACAGCAGGGATGATATTGATTCCATTGTCTTTGTATGATATGATGTAGAAATACCTGTTGCGGCAAACACATGTTACGTTGAGCCATAAATACCTGTTGTTGTCAAACGTGTGTAATACAATTGGCAGTCTTAATTCTATGACAAGTAAATTCATTTACGGTTGATATGTTAATTTGCCACAATGTATTTTTGGTGGCAGAAAATTGCTTAAGCGGAATTATTTTTAAGCATTTTGAGGCAACTAAGAAAGTAAGATACTTTATGGATAACAACTTTAGTTGCTGTTTCATAAATTATCTTACTCTCTCAGTACACGTCATAGTCTAAAATGCCAATCATGCAGATCATTTTCAGGAACATGTTTAAAAATACTCACTGGCCCCTGAGAATATTACATGGTTGGTCCCAAATCATTGCAATTGTCAAAACATCTTCTCGATAATTGCCATACATTTGTCTTGTCGTGAGTGAATGATTTGAATCTTAAGTCAGTGACAAACGTCTTCTTCATATGTATAATCTTTACAGAACCCTTGAACCCCATGTTTCGTGACTACCCATTCAGTTTCAGGATCCACCTGTAGTTTCGTGTTCCATCACTGCCCCAATCATCCTTCTTTGTGAATCGTACTTTTGTCTGTGGGTTTTCCCCACATGCGCAACAACTGACATACTGTTCTAAATTCTAAAGCGGTTTAGAATGCAACACTCCTGCTGTCTTGCACTGCACTGATTAAGAAGCTCCAAATGTATTTGTGTATTTAGATGATTGGTATCTTGCCTTTATATAATCATATTCTTGCTACAAATGCTCGATGTCCAAATGTACTTGTTCAAATGCTCAATGTGACGATGATGCGCTGTCCACCTTGTGTGAAATTCAAGGATGAAGACGCCACAGAACATTATGCCGAGCGTCCAAGTTATTCTTATCTCAACTTTCTCATCATCCATTTCATTTTATGTTTTGCTTTTTGCTTTCATGATATTAAAAAAGGTCAATTAGAGCTTCCAGAAAAACATCAACTGAGTTTTATGTTTCTTGCGAATGGTGTATTCAGAAAGTGAACAAGTTCCATCATCGACTTAATATTATGCATTGGCAGAAAACATTTAAAAGATGTTGTTCCAGTGAAGCCAGGATTGATATTCAAGTTTCAAGGCAAGTGTGGTCAAAGGAGGGGTTTTGGGGCTGGGCTTGCTGCATATCATCTTCCCGATCTCTTGACGTCCTCCAGGAACGTGATGAGCGGTCGTCAACCATGTTCCGCCCTTCTAAATCTTGAGAGTCGAGAAAGTCAGTCACAGTATGTGTTGAATTGGGGAAGAATCCTGCACTCCCTAAATCTGAGGTGGTCAGACCATCACAATTCGCAACTTGGTCTTACGAAAAACCGGTGATCATCATTAGTACCCAGCTTTATGGGCGAACTGGGAACAAATTATCATTTTCTGATGCATAATTGTTTAAACATGCTTGTGTCAAATCTGCTCGCACAGAAACCTTAACAGTATACTTGATAATATCAAAAACACATATTACTGATCGTAGATCCAGGAGAGAGTAAGAGGAGACCATTGACAAGGTATACATACAATAAAGGAACTGGACACAGAATAGCATGATGAGATCCCTATTTCCAGCAACCTCACTCAGAAGGAAGATAGCTTATTCTCTGACAGACTCTTGATACGAACATTTCTATTGTTCCACGTATAACCTGGGGCAACCCGAGAAGGAAGCTAATCAGACAGCAGATGGCCGTGAAGGCAATTTTGTGTGTCATTGGGTTTCGTGTTCGTCCAAAACATACAGAATATTAGTGATAGATATTGGAAGTTAAGGACATAGTTCTCTGTGGTACATGTATTGTATCTGTTAAACTTTTATCGAGGAATTTGTGAGAAGGTTGTAGTGATGACAAACCCGACTTGGGCATCTGAAGACAACTTATTGTAACGGGAACATTTTGGCAAAATTATATTATAAATGTATGTATTATCAAAAATTATATTATAATTTCATGCTGCTTGTCAAAAACGATGAATATCTGATCGTGTGAAATCTGAAATTTCCACGCGTTGCTTCGCATATCTCGATGAGATATACGTCGTATTTGACAAACAGCATGAAAAAGTAGCACAATGTAAAGCAGACCCGCAGCTGTACTTTACATCCAGTATAGGCCTAGAACTGTTCAGCCACCCCTTGGTGTTGACATAAGTCAGATGAATTCGTGTTGGGCGTAGACTTTGCTTACTTACTGGGTAAAGTTACATTGGTTTACCGGGGAAATGCGCCTGTGACCCACAGAAATGTTTCAGATATGCGCTGTAACAATGGAGCTAGTTTTTAAGTGTCCGACAATAAATATTTGACATGATCCAGCAACAGAATAGAGATCATGTAGATGCATGGCGGAGGATTGAGTTTCCCTTTGCAAGTTTGTTGTGAAGATGTCCCACTGACCTCGGTGATGCAATGTCATGCTGTGAAAAGTTTGGATGATTTATTCTGGAGTACATTATCATATTTTTAAAAATAAAACACGAAATGGGCATACCAAAAATTATGATAAGTATAAATGTTCCTTTAACCCAGTTTGTACTGGGGATTGTACTGTGTCACACATTGATGTAATGTACGTGGTAACAATGTCCTACAAGAAATATCGTATATGTAAAACCACACAACAATATTTGATTAACGAAATCCATGGTTTCTCATGAAGGAGTGAACGATAACGTTTGTCTTGCAGACATATGTTGATTAATCAGCAGCCTCTTTTACTTCTTCGCATTAAGATAACAGCGACAACCCTTTTACCGTAATCGTTGCTGCAGTATGTCATGAGAATTCAATGTGTGTTTCAGAGAGACCGAATGCACATGCAACACCTTGCGATTCCTTCACATTACATGGATAAAAAACATGCGACAAAGAATTTCAAAATTTTACATTGAAAGCTGTTGGCGACTGTGTCAGTTTGTGAAACCCGTGTGGGTCTATCTCAGAAGATAAGGGATGACGTTTGATGTCAACTAAAGCCATGTTTCACTGAGCACCACTACTGTTGTAAGCATTAGCCAAGGAATTTTTTTGTTTGTTGTTATATGGCGTCGGTCTGTAAATAATCGACAACCAGACAATCCAGTGATATACAGCATGAACATCAACGAACTTGAGATACGATGGCATGTATTAACTAAGTCAACGAGCCTGACCACCCGATCCTGTTAGTCGTCTCTTACGAAAAGCATAGGTTGTTGAAGAGCAATTCTAACCCGGATCTTCACGGTTTAGACAAAGAATGGGAGTTGCCGTCATCTTAGAACTACGATGGCTTTGTGAACATGATCCCGGTCATCAAGCTGAATAACAGTAGCCCAGAGGAACCGTGTATTGAGTCAATGTGTAAGCTGAATTTGAATTGTGCTTCACAATCTTGGTCATCAACGACCGTGACCCAAAATATACTTGAAATATATATACTACCCATCCAAAGTTTAGACTATCTTAAAGCACTCACTATATGTTATGTATATATATGAGGTTACATCGAAGATGAATTTCTCCACTGACTTGGGGGACCCAACTGCAAACCTTATGCAGATGAATTGCACAAGGATCAATAAATAAATCGCTGAAAAGCCTGTGCAAATATCGTGCATGTGAACAGTTGCGTTTTGGTGTAAAGTCTTGTTAAGAATTCACCAATTTTCACTGAGTTTCATCATTTATTGAACTCATTACAATAATCTTTCAATGTTACGAATTTGTTTCACACTACATCAGTTCATGTGTAAACAGTACCTTTATACAGTATGGAATATTTTGCAAAATCTAGTTTAGAACAGTTGACTGAAGAAAGTGGCTACATCTACACCAGTGAGTCTAAACTTTTGATGGGTAGTATACATTGTACGCTTGAGTTCAGTGTACTGCATGGCCACAGATACACAGTGACTGCTTAGATTCAATGTCCTACAGACTCATGGGCAAATACACACTGTGTTCACCGTCGACACAGGCACTGTCAGACACACATTGTATGTTTGGTTTCAATGTCCCGCATAGACAGTGTCACACAGACAGTGGTTGGGTTCAGTGCCCTAGACAGTGTTTGGGTTCAGTGCCCTACAGAGCTACAAGGTCAACTATACATTGTGAGTTTAGTCTACATGGGCGCTGTCGGAATATGCTTCGGCTCATTGTCCGACGTATCCACTGATAGATACACAGTTAAATACTTGGACTTAATTGGAACAAAAAAGAAATTACTTACATAGATCAGATTCAATTGTCAAAGCGGGCAAACAGCTTTCCTCATATACTCCTAAACACCACTGCAGCTAAACGCCTTTAAGTCTGACTGAAGTGGATCTAGTATGAAAATGTTTTCACAAGTATCTTCTTAGGCTTGGTGAAGAAATAGGCATGTCGATAGTTTTATCAGACTCTGTATGAACACCCCTAACTATGGGAAGATTATTTACGTTCATTATCGTTTCAAGTAGGGTGTGTGCATCATACATGAGGGCTATGGTAGTCAGATGACCAAAAGCTGTCTGCGTCAATGAATCATTGTAATTTATATATGAAGGCTTTGGGTCTTGTCATCTGAAATGACGGTGTAACATTAACACGGATTAATGTGAACTCACATGAAACTTACAATTTGTCTCAGTTTGTCATTCGAAGTTCTAAATGTCTTGCATTAAGAATCCTTATCAAAGAACAAAAGGTTTCTGGAAATATAAATCTCTTTCATTATCCTAACATCCAGAGCAAGGAGACGTACAGATAACCTTGTTGTCAGTGATTTACAATCAAACTTTAGTTTTTCTTCACGTAAACATGACCTTAAACAGGTTTTGTTTGTTTGTTTAACACCGCACTGCAATATTCTAACCATATGACCGTGATCTGTAAAGAACCAGACAATCCAGTGATTCATATCATGATCAAGACCAATACTTCAGTTACAGATATTAACTTGTTATTCGAATCTCCAGTAAATATACCATAAACTATAGTTGGGAGCGGCCTCTGTGTACATTTTACAGTCTCTTGAAATTTAAGTTTTTGTTGTGCCTCAAACTGACTGAAGTCTCTTTTAAATACATAAAATCACCAGTCTCCATACCAACATACTGGATTCCATTGGGCGTTAAAGACAAAGGTGCGGTTAAAACTACATGGATGGATTACTGATAATCAATGCAGACACCAGGTGGTTGTAACTTGGGTAATCATACTTTCTCCGACAGGTAGCACCCCCTCCTTATCATGTGTTTGAAAGGTATGTTTCTGGCCTAACACGGCACAACTGTATTTTTGCGATCCCACAAGGGCATGTAAACAAACCAGACAATTAAGTGATCCATCATAAATCCAGTCATACGATAACCCATCTAACTGAATATTGGATGTGAACTAAAGGTATATGTATGCAATAATAATCAATTTGTCTTTTAGCTGCGTCACGATGGCCTTGGACAATGTACCAGTTGCCGTTTATTGTCGAAGCCTCGCCTGCTTCAACAGACGTCGAGAAGCGTTCTAATCGAAATATACCTTTGTGGAGCTGCATTTCTGTATTACCGTGGATTATTTCAAAGGGAAGTGTCGCAGTAACTCTTTCTAGTCAACAAGGGCGGACTCCCACTAATCCATATTGTTGACAAGGGGCAGTGTTCCACTGACCCATACTGTTGACAAGGACAGTCGTGTTTACTGATCCGCCGTGTGTGACCAATAAGCCACCTCCTCTCCTTACTACCCCACCGTCTCCGTAGTTCTATGAGTGAGTGAGTGAGTTAATATTTAACGTCACCGTAGATCTATGAATACGCACTGCTAATAATCTCAGACGAAATGTAATACCCGTGTTTTAAACATGATCCATGACATGGCGATTTTAGTCTCAACAATATAAGCAATGCAATGTTTACAGACTATGACATCAACGCCTCTGTAGCTGCATCAATGCGACGTTGACGACTATGAACCGTGTATTCA